GGAAGCCGCTGTCCACCGCCATCATGGCGGGCGGAAGTGGGGAGCCGAAGCGAGCGGAAGTGAAAGGCCGAAGCGGGCGGAAGTGAGGGGCCGAGGCTGTGGTGGCGGCGGCGGCGGATCGGGGATGGACGATGTGGCAGTTGGGGGCGGCCCGGGCCAGGCCCGCCGCTACTGCCGCCGCCTTGCGCGGCGTCCGGGGACGGAGGGAAGGCCTAGCCTTGCGATGTCGGCCCGGCACCGGCTGTGAGTCCAGGGGGTGAGGGGATAGCGGCCCCGCGGCCTTGCGCGGTTCTGGTTTAAATGCGGTGTGGGAGGGAGGCCTCTTGGTGGGGCCTTACGGCACCGAAACTGCCTTTTTTTTGGTGTTTTGTGGCCTTGAAGGTCTATCCATCCTCGCATTGCTTGCAGAAGATTTATATACGCGTTTTTTAGCGTGTAAGGTGTCAAAACCGCTTGTCTGGGAGGTGTCCTGGAATCTCCAAGGCCTGTGGGGTCGGTGGGCGTCGCGCCGTGACCAGCCTTTCCAAAACTCGTTTTTTCTCCCCGTTGGGAGGTCGCTGAGGGGCAGCGGAGGTGATACACAGCTGCGCTTGCCGCTGGGCTCTCCGTAGTGCCCGGGGCAATGGAGAATCCCAGCTAAAACTGCGTCCCTGTGTGCCACAGCCTGTCTGTTCCCTGACACGGTGATCGCCAAAGGCCTTAAAGGTTAGGAATTTGGCAAATGTTCCTATTAAGCAATAAAGAACCCAGAAACTTCACGGAGGGGCTTGCAAGAAGAGGCTCAGTGTAAGTTATGAAGACCTCAGTTGTAACTCCAGTTCGTTTCCATTCTAGATAAACATCTGATCAAAGAAGATGACAAAAAGACGGTTGTAAGTATTTGCATTTTGTTCAGAAATCTGTGTAAAATGTGCAGCCTCTTACTCTGTTACAGTCTGAGCGTGTGTGTGTTGGCAACCTTTGGATGTGGCTGTTTTACTCAGCAGTGCTCAGGTGTCTTGGTGGAAACCTGTGCTTTTCTGTAAACTTGTAAATTCCATTCTGAAAATCACAATGAAGTGGTGAGGGGTTTGTGCAGATGCTAGGGTGTTGTGCAGGGACAGGGTCAGTCTTGGGGCAGCGTGTAGCACTGGAGTCACCCTGTACAACCCTGCCTGGGAGGGTTCTTTGAAATTTAATGCACGTTATTTTAAGACAGGTGAAACAAAAGTCTCTTAGTTTATTTTAATTGTGCAGTTTTTTGAAAATAAAAAAGTAACGTCTCTTAAGGTTTACGCTGTTTACTGGACACTGAAATTGTTGCTTCATTTTTCATTTATTTTAAGTGGGGAGTGAAGTCTGGGAGGGGAGCTGTGGGAGGCAGCGTGGAGGGGGGCAGCCCAGCAGCGACCCCCTGGAGCTCTAGGGGCAGTGGGCAGGTAGTCACAACATCCAAACTTCACCTAAAGCCAACGTCTTCCTATAAAATGATTTATTTACATTATAAGGAAATAGTATGCTTGAAAGAGTGTATTTTTACATGTGGCATTTACTCCTGTGCGACAGCACGGCTTCTAAAGGTGAGACTGTTTTTCATCAGGTCTGCATCGAGGGGAACATTGCAAGCGGAAAAACAACATGCCTGGATTATTTTGCCCAAAATTCCAGCATTGAGGTACTGGCTGTTCATTTCTTTCTCTTTCTTTACATCGTTAAGCAGTTGCTTGTCTGGACAAAACTGGCAGTTAATTTAGAAGCGTTGTCCTTTCTTAGGCTGCTGGGAGAGGAGCAGCAGGCTGTGAGGCAGCTATTTATAGGCAAACTGTAGGAGAGAAATTTAGATCCTATATAATATATATATATAGTACTGGATGCCAAAATATCAGTAAAACTTGTGGATTAGAGTCTGTACCTCTGTGCAGGAACAGCAACCCAGCGGGGCTGGGCATGACTGGTCATGTCAGGGCATGTCTGGGCATGCTGCTTGGCTGTTTCCTGCCACTTAAATCTCAGCTGTGTCCTGTCTTAAGTAAAGACAAAGAAATGACAACAGAGAAATACTGACGTGGTATAACTGAGGCCCCAGTAAATGGATGGCTCTTTTAAAAAATGAAAAATCTGTTAGAATTATTTCTGGGGATTTCTTAGACTGTTATGGTATTTGATTTCATACTGCTTAGGACAACATTAGGGGAAGGGCAGGCTTACTGTGTTTTAAACAAAATGAAGATCAAACCTCAGGGAGCAATTGCTTTTGTGTACATCAGATATTTATACTTTTCCCAGCAGACCTGGGAACATGTTTGATAATAAGTCTTGGGATTCCTTGTAGAAATGTTGGGTTGCCGGGTGTTATTTGGTCATCTAACAGGAATGATCCTTATGGAGTGAATATCTGTTAACCCAAAGGATAGCAAACTTTAATTTGCATGTAGTGCCTTATTCCTTAAAAAGCTGGTTAATTTCCCAGGCCTGTCAGATTCTGTTAGGCCTGGCTCTGCAGCATCATTTACATTTTAGACCCTGTTTGAACCAGATAAGTCTCTTCTGATTTTTACCTTAGTGCCTTATTCCTTAAAAAGCTGGTTAATTTCCCAGGCCTGTCAGATTCTCTTAGGCCTGGCTCTACGGCATCATTGACATTTTAGACCCTGTTTGAACCAGATAAGTCTCTTCTGATTTTTACCTATTCGGGGTAGAAGCTTTTCTGCTTAATTTCATAGAGGTTTTGGATACATTTGGATTGTTAGATCACAAAAATAAAATGAAAAGTAATATGGTAGCATTCTGATCATCTCTTCCTTTGCTGACTAGTGTTACTCTCCAAGAAATTAATTTGTGAGGGGATGAGCAGGTCATTGAAATGCAGTCAGTACTCAGCTAAGCCATTCTTTCCCTTATGTCATACTGGTTTTAACTCAAAAAAGGGAAATTATATCCAGGCTCATTAGGTAATGAATCTGGTGTTTTATTTTGATAGTTTAAAAGTGCTAAAAAGATGTTGTATAATATTTCCCTATTTTTTAACAGCTTTCATTATTACCTTTTGTAATACTCAGTGCTGTTTGTTGAAGAGAGATGAGCTTTCCAGTAGAAGCCCTGAATACCCTGGCTTGATGAGTATTCATTAAAAATGGTTCTAGACTTGTAGGGTGAAATTATGTATTTAGAATCTAAAACATGTTTAACATGGGGTAATTCTTTTGAACCAGGTTTTGACAGAACCGGTGTCCAAGTGGAGGAACGTTCGTGGTCATAATATCCTGGTAAGTGGCAGAAATTAATTCTGCAATTACAGTTGGTGTTCATTTAGAAAGAGGTGTGTGAGGGCTTCTGCCCAATCAGCAAAACTGTTATGAAAGGTGTGGTCATTATCTCAGCAAAAAATAAAGCTCTGTGACGCAAAAGATCTTCTACTGTGATTAAGACATAATAGAAACTCTTTTGGGTAGTCATGGCTTCTTGGAACCGTTCCCCCCAGGTCTGTCCCTGTGTCACAGCGCTGCTGGGGGGCAGAGCCAGGGCAGGTGGGCTCTGCTGGGGTGTTTGAAGTGGTTTCTGACGTGAGTCTGCCCTGCTGGCGTGATCAGCTCCATGGTAGAAGTCTCCCTGCTGGGTCTACTGAGAGTCTGCACAAAGCTGGAGTAGCAGATAAGTTTTTTTTAATTAGTAAACAGGTTTGAACTGTGTCATATGAGCCATGCCTTGGCCCTGACTCCTCCAGGCACAGAGTAACTAATTCCTGTTGGCTTCAGTGAGAATTCCAAGTGCCCCACTCAGTGTCTCTAAGGACCAGGACTGTAACTCTTGTCTGCATCAGGGAGAGCAAACCATCCCTTGATTCTTATCAAACCTGGTGCCAGCTGGTTTAGTGCACCTCTCTCAGCAATTCTGTCCTAGTACAAAAGCTTATGAAATACCCATTCTTTTTTCCTTTTTTTTTTTTTTTCCCTGCTTGGCCTAACCAGAATGCCTGTCTGTCTCCCCTCCGTCTCTGACCCCAGGGCTTAATGTACCAGGACGCGTCACGATGGGGGATAACACTACAGACCTACATACAGCTCACCATGTTGGAGCAGCACACCAGGCCAATGGTAAATAAACGTACTTTCCATTTAAAAAAGAGTTTGATGTGGTTATGAGCAATAAACTGAAAATGTTACGTATTTCATAATGTAAAGAGCGCGGTGTGCAATGTGAGCTTGGAAAGAAACAAACGTGCTGAAAATGTGAACAATCAGTGACAGCCAAGTTTTATTTTGTAGATTTCCCCCGTGCGAATGATGGAGCGATCAGTTCACAGTGCAAAATACATTTTTGTAGAAAACTTGTATCGAAGGTATGGTATATGACTTTCTACTTTACTTTCTTGGCTTAATTAGATTAAAAAAAAATGACTATAGTCAACTGATGGTCTCTTTGGTAATTTGCATCTAAGTGGCCTGTGAAATCTGTCAGTTTGTTGGAGTGACAGTGTGTTTTGTAGGGGACGTGGTGCGTGCTGGTAGAACAGAACCTGTAGGGCCAGGTGAGAATTGTTTTTCAGAAGTGCCCCTGTGTATTCTGAGCACCTTACTATTTCAAACACCATTCTGCTCTCCAGCTGAATACAAAAGTCTTGCTTAAAGCAAACGCCTGCTGAACAGGTCGAAAATCATGTGGATGTAAAGAGGAGGGAGAGAACTAGGCAGCATTATCCAGCCCAGCATCCAGGGTTGGTGTTTCTGGGAAGTGGGAACTGGGGTGAGGAGTGTGCCAGCCCTTATGTGCTATTGCTTGGAATCAGGATTTATAGCATCAAAATAGCCTAAAACCCCTGCTTGGATAATGAGCGGAGAAGGAGCGAGAGCTGTTTGTCTCTAAATGGCACTTTTTGAGTCAGGTCCCCACCCCCGGGGGTGCTGGGGGCAGAGGGAGAACAATTGGGCCCAACCTGGGTTATTTTGTTCTGGGGGATAAGACTGTGGCCTGAGATGGAAAAAGCATTTATTACCTGTCCAATGTAAATACAAGTTATCCATCCCATACAAACTGAAGGAGTGCAGGAATCAGCACTGATTGCTTTGGGTTTTTTTGTTTAGAATGCTGACCTTCTATTGAAAAGCATATGTACCAGATTGTTGTTTTCATGGATTTTTCAGTGGTCTTAAGGGAGAAGAGCAGTTTCTTGCCCCAGTCTGCACGGAGGGTGGCTGCGTGCCACCAGGTGGCATCCATGCTGCGTTAGTGGTTGAGGCACACAGTAGGACGTGAGACAGAGAGAGACAGACATTATTTATCCCAGCCGGAATGAGTGGAAATGTTGTTTTCTTTTCTCTTTTCTGTAAGAGAAGGGATTGCTTAAGATTATTTATCCCAGCCTGAATGAGAGGAAATGTTGTTTTCTTTTCTGTAAGAGAAGGGATTGCTTAAGATCCCAGTCTTAAAGGTGGAGAAGAATCCCTTGTTATCTCTGCTCTACACCAACTCTGATGGAGAGCAGTGGAATATCAGGAATACCGGCTATTCTTTGGTCAAGCGTCACTCAGTGTTTGTGTTTTGGCTTTGCAGGCTTTTTTCCCAGAGAGAGAAATAGAGTAAGATTTGCGACGAGGCCGGAAGGCTTCAATTGGGAGGAGTTGCTGGGAGGTTCCACCAGGCACAGCTCCCCACTGTCCCAGTTCTTACCACCAGGTTTAAAACCGTAGAAGAATTTTAAATGTGTGCATGTGAGTATGCGTGGGGTGGTACAGGGTGAGCACCAGCTGTTCCCACTTGAATTCCTAGTTAGTTAAGATAGAAAGCTCCTGCCATTTGTGTTTACTTGGGAGGAGTCAAATGTCAGCAAACTTTGAAGCTGAAACCCCCCGTTAGTGTGTCAGAAGAGCAGCCATCAGTTGTGTTACCCTGTTTCTTGGGTGCTTCAGGAGGCGAGATGTTCAGCTGGATGGCAGATAAGGAAGGGAGGTGGCACTGATACTGGTTTCACTTCCTTGCATTTTTAAGTGGAAATACCTTTCTGGGTTGTCTTTATTCAGTTTTGCCAGCGATCGAAGCGGTTAGAAACAGTTGAGAAATCTGTGGTGCCGTTTTCTTCAGCACTATTTAAAATGTCACAACTGGTCTTAATGATTCAGCTGGAGAGAACAGGAGTCTCTCAACCCCGTCCCTTTTTTATATTTCCATGGCAGAGGCATTCAGGGAAGTGTGGAGTGTGTTACAGTCACCAGTTTTGAAGACAGAATAATGTAAAACTAGTAATATTTGACTGTTTAGGAATAGAGTAATAAGTGAAAATTCTGATACAAGTAAAAACATCATGTATAGTTCTTCATGTGTCATCTACAAACTGCCTTTTACACAAGTTGTTTGGTATTTTGTTATTCTTACTGAGAGACCTTTGGCACAGTTGTCTCTGATATTGTATAGACGCTGTGAATAGGGAGTGCAGATTAAGCACATGGAATATTTCCATACTCTTTCCACAGATATTTCTTACAGTGGCAGTAAATTTTATTTATGTTGTGTCGTTGTTGTTCCACCGCTCTGTACTACGGCTGCTGTAATGAATTGTCAGTGCTGCTGTGTAAATCCAGCCTTCCTGGGGACGTGCAGGGCAGTAACTCAAATGTATTTGAAATGATCCTTGAGCAATAAATACCATTGACACTAATTTGTTGTTATTGTATAAATGGCAATGTGGTAATGTTTTTTTTCTTAGTCACTGAGTTGTTAATTCTTAACTGTATTGGGGAAAAATAATTAATGTTTGTAACTTAATAATAGCAACTTGTTGTTAGTAAGTACTTTTTTTTTTTTTTTTTCAAAAAAAAAGGAAGATTTGGTCTTTCTGTTGTATAAACAATGCTTTCTGAGGCCTTGAACTTGGGTGGGCATAATATCGGTCTTGTTTTCATTTCACACGTGCTGAAGTAAATTGGGAATAATTCTAGTCAAATGAAAAAAAGATGAGTTTAGGATTGATCTGTGGGTGCTGTTCAGTGAGTGATGACTTTTATGTTTATGCAGCGGCAAAATGCCAGAGGTGGATTATGTTGTCCTGACCGAATGGTTTGACTGGATCCAGAACAACACGGATGTTGCGGTTGATTTGATAGGTAAGATTCCCATGGGATCAGAAGGGGGATGTTTGTGGGTGGGTTTCCTCATGGGGAGGAAAATAACTCTTGTTTCTTGGGTCATAAATAATCAGGCTCTTTAATAAGATAGTGGTTGCAAAGTGTAACACTGGGCAGCGTGATTTTGGGGATGGTTCATGCATCGATTAACCCTCATGCCAAAGGGGAGGTTCAGTGGTGGTACCCAAGCCAGGGTTCTTTCTTTCTACAGTTGGTGACGTAAGTTTCTTCTTTGCTTTTAAAGCTGTTCCTTGAACTTAACTATTACAATTTTTGATTTGGCAGTTTATCTGCAGACTTCTCCTGAAGTTTGTTACGAGAGGTTAAAGAGAAGATGCAGAGAAGAGGAAAAGATCATTCCTCTGGTAAGGAGTTCCTTCAATATATGTGGTTAGAATGACTTTAAAACGTAACGATTCCAATCCAAATACTAAAATCATATCCTGAGTCTGCTGCCAAATGTGGTGCAGCTGTTCCCATTGCAAACTAAAACATCAGTATTTAATTTTGATTTATTTTATAGAAATGATCTATTGCACACACTGACTTTCCAAGTGTGAGTTTTAGTAATCAGTGTACTACAGCTGACTGTTTAGGTGAAATACTAATCAACTGTTAATCTTCTGTAAGATGTAAAAAGGCAATTCCTTTTGTATCATTAAATGGCACGAAGGCACCCAGTTGAAGCACAAATACCTGTGTGTGCAGGTGCCCAAGATTCCTGTGGGCACTTTCTCTTGCCTGCCATTACCAGGATGTTTATGCGTGAAAAGTGTCTCTGCTTGTGCCTGAAAACAAGCAACTTCTTGAAAATTCTTAGCATAGGAATCTGCTTGAAAAGAAACTCTAGCAGCTTACAGGATGGCCCTCTCTGTCCTCACTTCTCTTTGGTGTATTTTCCTCTGTAAACTCTTGAGTCACGATATACCTATGGGAGAGAAACGTGGTCCTTGATCTTAAAAGGAGCTGAGAGCCCCGGCTCCTGTAAGCTGGGTCTTTGGGGTTCTTCTTGGAGCAAAACCTCATACAGGGAGTTATTTTCTCAGGAACTTTCTGATGCTTTTTATTTTTGTTAGTGGAAAGATCTGATGCTGGTTTTTATATGGAGTTCTTAACTACTTACCAAACATACATAAATTGCAACATGAGCTTCATCCCATGGCGTATGTTTTATTTGAACACCTCTTTTCTAGGAATATTTAGAAGCTATTCATCAGCTCTACGAAGAGTGGCTCATTAAACACACACTGTTTAAAGTTTCCTGCCCAGTGCTTGTGAGTATTATTTTAGTTATAACCAATAAAGCACATGGAGGATTGTGCTTTTCAAATATTAAGTGTTATTTAGTGGTAAAAGTAAATAAATCTGCTTTTCTCATAACCTTTGGAGAAGGCAAACCTTAGAACAATGTTTACAGCTCTCCAGAGTGTGTAGCATAAAAGTCTGGGCCTCCATCAGCTGGGTGGGATTTGAGGGTCTCTTCATGTGGCTGCAGGACCAGACGTGGAGTTTTTCCATGAATGCCAAATTCTGAGCAGAAGGCTAATTGGAGTATGTCGCTTCGGCTTCGGGGATAGTCCTCTTCTGTTTTGCTCAAAAGCAACCGTTTCTTAGGTGCCTATTATTTCTAATGTTTCTGTTCTTTTCAAGGTTATTGGAGCTGACCATGACATGCAGAAAATGATAGAAAAGTACGAAGAAAACCGGGACCAAATACTAAACCCGTGTAATCTGCAACACCATTTATAGACACCTGAAGGCCGATTTGGCGGCGATTTTGAGTATTTTTAGTATTTCTAAATAGAATGTTTTTTTGCTTTTGAGTTATGCTTTGTAGAATGTTGTGGACTTACTGCTATGAAAAGTTGAGATACAAGTCATGAACAGAATATAAGCCAATTCCCTTTCAGGTTTTTAGGTTCTCCATCAGCTTTACTATGTCACTTCTGTTCAGCTAAAATCTGGCTATTTCTCTCATTCTGGGAGAAAATTTCAGTGCTGGGTTACTGTAAGTAACCCAGGTTTCTCCTTTTTTACATCCTCCTCCCCAGGACAACCCTCTTTTTGTAATTTGAAAGAAATAGTTCTATGCAAGAGGTGGGAAGTCCTTTTTTTATTATTAGGGGAAGCAATTGAAGTGCATCAAGTTAAAGTAACTTCATTAAATAGTTCTTACCAGGTTGAAATAGGGGGTCTGACCCTGCTCCCACCTACCCTAGTGCAGTTGCATTGAATTTGTGTTTTTCCTGCTTTACATGAAATCACAATGTAGCTGTAGTTGTGAAGATAACTATGCACTAGTACAGTCCCACTGAATTCAGTGGTAAAAAAAGAATAACAGTTTTCATAAGTGATTGCAGAATGGCTCTGAGGCTTTTATTTTTAAGCTAGGTTTTTAAAGGGCTTATTTCTCTTCCACTGGCTCTGCTGTGGCTGAGCTGAGGACTACTCAAAATACAGGGTGCACAGAACTGTATTTGTTGTTCCTTTCAAATGGTTATAAAAAATTATTTTGGACTTAACGGGTTTGGATTCTTTGATTGTACTTTTTTTTTATAAAGAAAAATACAGATGGTCTTTTGGATTTGTATCTTGATCAGTTTATTGTGACTTACAGGTACTTGGAGTGTAGAGAAAAATAGTGGGGGTTTCATTCTTCCCCTTCTTAGCTAAAGTGTGGAGTTGTCCTTAATTTCTGTTTTACCTCTTCAGGATCATCCTTTTAATGCAGCAGTTCCGACTGTTTTCATGTTACATTTTCTGTTAAATTTAAGTGGAATGATTCCTGAAGTACAGTATATATATTTTTTTTTTTCTATAATAGTTTTGGTTGATTGAACTGTTCTGAGAATTCCAGCTTAAAATAAGATTTTTGCATATTAAGTAATTATCTTACTTCTGGAAGCGTTCTTGTAGGGGAATAGCAGTAATTTGAAAGCTGTTAAACTTTCAACTTTTTTTCTTCTGTAAGAGACCAAAAGAACTCTGTCTTTGACAATAGTTCTATAAATTTAAAGGTTAGTCATCTGCAGTTTGTTCTTAATTATAATTTCATTACGGTAGTAGAAGCCAAGGATGTATATTTTGCACACAGTCCAGAAAATCATGGAATAGTTTTGTACAGAGAATCTTACAAAGAATCTCACTTTTATCTTTCAGCTTTTGAAAGAAACTTATGCTTTTTGGTCAGATTCTCCCTCCCTCCCTCCCCTTTTATTATATCAAACCAGTAGTTTGGATGTTGGTTACTGTTATTCATAAGTCTAATGGAATATGAAGGAATAATTTATATAACTTATTTATTAAAAATTACAGATGTGATGGCTACAGAGAGCATGTTTATTTTATGTTTTGCTGTCTATTGTTTCTTATGTATAGGTTTTCATATACAAAGGAAAGTTGGGTATTTAATGAAAAGTTGGAACAAAACCAAACAGGTTGCTTGTTAATGTGTCGTCAATGTCAAATGTTTGCCACCTGCTGTAGATTTGTAGATAAAAATACTGCAGTTATCATAAACAGCTGGTTTTAAGCCTGGAATTTATTTGGGTTTGTTTCTTGAAATCTCTCAGTTGCTGAGGGGATGGAAAAATGGGCAATCAGCATTAGCCTGATACTTATTTTTTTATGTTTTATGAGTGTCTCAGTAGCCAAGAAGAGGTGCAGTGGTTACCACCAACGGGACAGGAGGGCCCTGGCAGATGGGGACAGAAATCTCACAGTCCCTTCAGTCTCTGTCCCTCTTCTCAGGTCTGACTGTATTTACAACTAGGTTTTTAAACCCAGTTCTTACTCGGGTGGAAGCAGCTGCACAAAGGACTGCAGCCCAAGGCTATCGAATGTGACTTTTCATTTATTTTGGCTGGTTTTCAAATCCCATCTCTTCACAACCATCTTTAACTGTAAAGCAGTTGTCTCTTGAGACCAGAAATTTGCAAATACAAAAGTAGCTTCTAGTACAAGACCTCAAACCCTTACCGTTTGTGCAGGAAGAGAAGTTAAAGGTGTTCTTGCAGCAGTAAGAAACTCAGATGAAAATATCCAGAAGACTTTAAGACTTTATGGCTCTCCCTACAAGGAGAGAGCACTTGCCAGTCCTGGCCAATCTGCCATAAAGAGGAGATTCTTCCTCAATCCAGGTACTCAGACATTAACAAAAGGCAGATTTGCAGAATGTGGGCATCTTATATTTAATAAGTTTGTGCAGTTTAATTGTTTGGTGGGTGTTGTTCATCATTACTATCTCCACCAGTGTTCCTGTGACTCAGTGGAGCCAGGGACTGTGGTGCCCTGTTGGCAAGTCAGGGCTGTGCCTCCTCTCCTGAAAAACCCTCTGTATATTTTGTTTTCCCTGTTTTCCCCGTGTGAGGTTGTTCAGAAGCTCCTGGATGTGGATGCTGCTGGTCCAAACCCCTGCTCACAATGGGGTGAAGATCTGTCTCCTGTTTGCCAGGTGCTGTGAAGGCAGAAGCCCTTGTGGACAGGCCCAGCAGGGGAAGTTCAGTAAAGACACAAGAGGCAGTAGGTGTTACCTGGAGAAGTTTATTGAAGGCCAGCAGTATGGCATTAATGGAGTTAGATGCCCAAGAGCGTGTCTTTTCAAAGGGCAGTCTTTGGTTTGCTGTTAAATACTTTTTCCTCATATGGCTACAGTAAAAATAAAAACAGGGTGTTAGGGATACAACTCCTGTATTACTGGTGGTCATCTAGATTAGGAGACATCCTCACTGGTGATGAGAAGGGGTTTGCACAGTTTTATATTAGAGTTCATGAATAATTTACATAATACAAGATTTAAAACACATAATTTTAATAACCCCCACAGGGGGAAAATACAGCTATAAACCCCAGGTGGTTAGAAAGCACAGGTAAGTACAAGGTTGGGGTGGGTGGACTCAGCCAGCAGAGGCACCTACACAGCTGCTGGCTCCCCCCTTCCCCGGCAGGACGGGGAGAACAGCAAGAGCAAAATAAAAAGCTTTTGGCTTGAGATAGAGGCTTAATAAGTGAAGGGAAGAGTTGGGGAACCCCAAGTGCTGCAGTGGCAGTCACTCACCACCACAAGCAGAGCGATGCCCAGCCTGTCTCTGAGATAAGGCAAAACCCCCCCACCACCACCTGCCCCCCCAGTTTATTCCATGGTATGGTATAGCTGTCCCAGCTCTGTCCTCCCCAGTTACTCACTGGGAGTGAGGATAGTTACAAACAGGGCGAGCTGTGATGCTGTGCCAGCACTGCTCAGCAATAGCCCAAACACTGCTGGGTTATCAACAGCTTCAGCCATAAAGCCCAAAGACACCACCCCAGGGGCTGCTATTAAGAAGGTATTAATTTGTGTGTGTGTTTACAATACCTGTTTCTCCCTCCCAAAGCTGAAGGCAGCCTTGTCACTCGGTGTTGGCTTGGTCAAAGTTTTATTCCTCCTACTCTGCTGGAATCAGGCGATGACAGCACCTCAGCAATTACTACTTGTCCACAAAGCAGATCTTTACATTTTAGCTCGGAAGGTTGTTCTAGTATAACCCATTTGCTCCTCTCTGAATTTTTTGTCAATTATAAGCAATAAACCGGCAGAAAGTGGCAGTTTTGTCCCTTCATCCGAGTGAGATGCAGAAAGTCCAGAGAACTCCAGAGCCGGTGCAGAGTCAAGCTGGAGGAACAGGGAGAAGGGAAATGGCAGCAGCGGCTGGATCTCCCTCATCTGGTCACAGTGAGTGACAGAGCTTGGTGCTTCTCTTGAAGTTTGTGGTGGTAGCCACAAAACGTTTTGGTGAGGAGTGGAGACAGGTATAGAACCTGTAATCCAGGTTAGTGCCTCTCTAAGGGCTAGACTGTTACTCCTAATGCAAAAATAAAACTAGGGGTGTTCACAGGGCAGTCACCTTCTTTAAACCTAAAGGAAGGTTATCAAACTTTCTAAACTTATTTTCAGCTGACAGCAAGGGCAGGGGTAGTTCAGAGCACAGACTGCCAGGCGTGTGATGAGGTGACAGAAGTACACTCCAGCACAGCATTTGTACAGCCAGAAAGCTGGGTCTTTCAGGTCAGAAACATTTCCATGTTTCTGTCATTGTACACATGCTATACTCTGGCAGTAAATACAGCCAGAAGGAACCTGGCTAATGAATTAAATGGATTTAAATTTATGGAAGTTGCCAAAGCTTTAGGAAGGTGACCATTCTGGTTTCAGTGCCAAAGGTTGCAGATGAGGAGGGGCCATTAAGAATTTGCTCAACTACTCCCCTTTTTTACTGTCCAAAAGCGGCGGTGGTTTGGTTTTTTGTTGTTTTTTTTTAAACTGTTTTGACAAACTAATCATCTCCCTGAAAGGATGATCAAGGCCACAAGCGAGAGGAAAAAAACCCCAGGCAGGTTATAAATAAAGCACTGGTAGAATCAAGTGTGATGGCATAACATTCCTTGGTCGGCTTTGTCAATAATGACATAAGGCTCCTGGATTTCAGTCACTTTTGAGTTACAGTTCTCTGGCTTTACTTCACTGGATGCGGGAGAGTCACGTTCGGGCTGTAAGAGGTTCCTCCTGCCCTGTGTGCTCCTGACTCGTGAGGACTGGACATGGATACTGTGTGGTGGGATGTAGGTGAGGTGAGGGGGCTCTCGAACATGCCTGAAGCACTCGGAAGCCACGTGTGCATTAGGAGCATCCATTAATGGTCTCTTGCCATCAGAACCATCAGTGGAATCCACAGTCCCAGCAGTACAGCACGGGTCTGGGGATGGCTCAGTGCGTGCAGCTGCTCTGTTCTGCATCTGAGCATTAGTCAGATACGTATGTTTTATTTTGGAGTGATTAAACTCTCTTATGTGCCTGTCACTTGTACTTGCATATGATACTGAGTCAGGTTGGCCAGTTTCCTCTACTGGGTACGTGAGGTCTTCACCAGTGTCCTTGATTTGTAGTTTTGTGAAGGTTAAAGACAGCTCACAAACTTCCTCTTCCCTAGAGACGCCGCGGTTTTGGACAGCCGCGATGTCCTTGTACAGCAGAGACTTCAGCTCAGCAGGTTCATCCGCAGGGTCCGGGTCTGTGCAATTTATGGCATCGTTAATTTCTGCTTCGATTGATTCTTCGGGGAGGACTTCTTGAGCTTTGTACTCCAGAGCGTTGTGGCTGTCACAGGAGCTGTCAGCAAACATTGCGAAGGCTGGCGGGCCGCTGGCTCCTGGTGAGAGCGGCACCGGCCTCGGCTCGTTTGCCGGTGGCTCTGCAGTGACTGCCAGGAGACACTCCTCACCGAGACCGGCTCTTGGCTGCGTTTCAAAAGCTTTTGGAGAAAGATTCTCACTGAAAATAGGTGTTTGTCTGATGACAATGTCGCTGTATTTGATCAAGAAGTCCTCGCTGTCTGAGTGTTTGCCCGGGAAATGTACAGTGTTAATGACTTGCCTTTGGTGTTCCTGAAGCCTGTTGGTGGACTGAGCAACTGCCAACTGAGGCACGTCATCTTTGATCTTTGGATTCCCAGCAGCTTCAAAGGCTGCATCGTTATTAGTGGAAGACTTCTGTTGAGTAGCAAGGCACAAAGATGTCTCACTGCTTGCTTTATTTACCGGATTTTCAGCGCCTTCTCTCTGGGGTGTCTGATCCTCTTTGTCCTCATCTCCATGATTCTGGTGCATTTGTGTTCTCTTCTGTAGGGTCGCCTCCAAATTGCCACATTTCTCTTCATTTGTCATTTCGAGGATGGTTTCACACTCAATTCTTGCCAGGAATATTTCAAATGCAGTCTGCTTTGTTTCCTCATTGTTTCTCTCTTTGACAAGTGAAAACTCTGTTGCTGTCGTTGCAATGTAACCTATTTTCTCCAGCACTGTCTTTACAATGTCATCTGGGAGCACAGATTGAATATAGTAGACAAAATTACCGGTGAATGTCTGAAACAGAATGCAACATTGAAAAACAGATGAACACTGGGAGGGCTGGGGTAGAGGGAGGTGTGAAAGACTTCCTACAAATCAAAAGTACTTCAAAAATTACTTAAATCTTTAAAAAAAAACTTGCATTCCTGAAAGTCTGAATTTTGAATTGAAGTGAGCGAGGCCTTTCTATCAGCATTATTTTGTCAGCCTCTCAAGCCTCTCATTATCGCGTTGCTATAGCACATTATTTCAGTGAAGCTGTGCCAGTTTAAACCCACTGAGATACTGGCTCAGAGCATCGATAGTCAAAAAGGAAGAGAGTAAGAAAATCACTTTAGTAAAACTAGAGAAACTCATAAATAAGTCTTATGTGCTGTACTGAAGAATGGAAGATTTTTAAACAAAGATTCATAGAATAAATCACCGAGGTCTAATCTTTTCTTAAAGGAACAGACATGATGCACTCACTGTTAATTGTATTTCTTAATTGGTAACAAGACTATAACATTTTCTTTTTCCATGGTTAAGACTCCAGCTGTAACTCTACTACCCCTGAATTAAGTTGCCATTTCTTTGAAAGCACCTTTTTGAAAGGAGACTATTCTAGCAGAAATATTGCCAAAACACGCTCTCTTTGCCCAACAAAGAGTCTGCAAAACACAACTTGAATAAAATGCTGCTGCTGGGTAACAACTAATTGTATTTCTTACTTGGTAACAAGACTGTAACATTTTCTTTTTCCATGGTTCAGACTCCAGCTGTAACTCTACTACCCCTGAATTAAGTTGCCATTTCTTTGAAAGCACCTTTTTGAAAGGAGACTATTCTAGCAGAAATATTGCCAAAACACGCTCTCTTTGCCCAACAAAGAGTCTGCAAAACACAACTTGAATAAAATGCTGCTGCTGGGTAACAACTTAAAACCAAAACCCACTTCTAGTTTATATACTAGTCCTCACGCCTGGGCTAGCTCCAAAAACTCACACAACAGTGCCTTTGGCTCCCCAGCTTCTGTTCCTTCCAAAAGGGAAGTCAGACAATGGGGGGGGGACACACCACAACATCAGAGTGAGTGAGAAGCAGGAATGACATTAAGTAGTATTCCACTGACAACCACTAACTTTTTATCAGATCTGTATGTACGCAAGATACTGGTTGTTCTTCAACCTGAGCCTGGCAGCAGAGTTATTTCAAGCCTTCAGCTGACCTGGGTATTCCACAGACAACCACTAACTTTTTATCAGACCTGTAGCTACACAAGATACTGGTTGTTCTCCAACTTGAGCCTTGCAGCAGAGTTATTTCAAGCCTTCAGCTGACTCTCTTGCACTTTGGATTACCCACAGTGGTCATCAAAATTTGATTTTAACGAAGCCTGGGATTCCTGAGTTATGAAAAGCTGACCCACTAACTGTAGACCTGCTTTAAGGAGATGAGTGATGAGAACAGGAACCTACTGCTGTCTGAGAATCCACAGATGAGACCTAAGGGCAACAAGAAGGAAAGAAATGGCCTTTCCTCACCAGCACCTGTTGCTGTAGGACAGGAAATAAGTTTGCATTTTGGGTCTTCAGGGGTTTTGTTTAAATACAAGGTGACTTTGCATGTGTTGAAGATTGCTGTCTCTTCTGGGCAATGAGATGTGTTCAGCGTGCTAGGGAAGAGGGGTAACCTTGACCCCCTTGCTGCAAAAAGTGACAGCATTTCCTCTTTCGAGGGGTTTTTCCTCCCCACTGCCCCAGCTGCGGTCACCAGAGCTGGGGGAGGTGGTGGGATCACTGGGCCAGAGAGACACTGCCCCGGTGGGACTCTGGCATCCAACTGCTGGCAAAAGGGAGAACTAAGGCTAACGAGCATCCCCTCCTTACAGGCAAATTAAGGTTAAAACTCACAGTAATGACGGTCTAAGCCTTTCACGGTACCTTTTTACTTCTCCACCACCTCATGACAACCGAAGGCCTCAGTCTGCGGCCCTGAAGGCCCGGCCAAGGCCCGCAAGGGCCAAGGAACACCTCGCACTGCCCCAGGACACCCCTAACCTGCTCCAAACGGGCACATAAACGCTGCTCCTGCCTCCCGGGGGGAAAGAGGCACCGGCTCTGTGCCTCCTGCGCCCACGGGGCAGGGGAAGAGGCCCCGAAACCCCGCGATCGCCAGGCCCCAGGCCCGGACCAGGCCTCAGGAGGGCGGCCCAGGCCCACATCCCCCGCCTCCCCGGAGCTGGCTGCACCCCCCGCCCGGGGCGCTCCCCTACCTTGAGCGACTTGATCTCTTTCCGCCACGGGGAGAGCAGCAGGTTGACGCAGAGCAGCTCCAGCACCTCCAGCGCCTTCAGCAGGTCCCGCAGGACGCTGCCGCCCCGCCGGCCCCGGGCCCGCCGGCACCGCTCCGCCACCCCGCGCACGTCCAGCCCCCCGCTCCGCCGCGGGCCCAGCAGCCGTCGCGCCCTGGCTTTCAGGGAGGCATCCTCGCACGCCGCCAGCTCGCCCTCCGCCCCCCGGGCCGCGTAGTAGGCCAGGTAGTCCCGCAGCACCTCCTCCTCGCCACCCGGCTCCTTCATGGCGCCGCCGGCCCGCCCGGCCCGCCCGCGGCACGGCTCCCCTCGCCATTGGCCGCTCCGCCGGCGCTCCGGGTCGTGAGTGGCTTTCTGCCCTGTCAGTCAGAGCGTTAGGGCGGGGCGCCCCGGCGAACTGAAAGCGAAAGGCGGGAGGGCGGAGAGGGCGGTGCCACGCGCTGGGCGCTCGCGCGTGCGTCGCTTCAGCACGGGCGCGTGCCGGCGTCGCGTGAGGGCGGCGGCCGTTGCTCATAACCGTCGTCGCGCTGAGGTAAAACCTCCCGCTTCCCGCCCCACGGCTCCCGCAGCGCTCTTTTACCGGCCTCCCCGGGCCCTCCTCCGCCACGGCCCCCAGGTACGCTCCGGGGGGAGGCGTGTGGGGCGGGTAAGGGCCTGGGATGGCGAGGGCCTGCTCTGAAGGGCTGGCGTGAGGTAGTTGTGCTGTGGGGTAAAACGAGCCCCTCTGTAACACAATGCGTTCTTTGTGCTTGCTTTGCTATTATTTTTTTTTTTATTACACTTTGCCTCAGAATTCCCAGGCTGGGTTTGGGAAAGAGAAAAAGAGCAAAAAGAGATTTGTGTCTTCTGCTGTGGTGGCTGAAAGGCTTCCTGGGCTGGGTTTGAAATGGTTGGGTCCAGTGGCTGGAGAACGAGCCTGACTTGCATTCTGGTGACTTTGCTCATCTTGATTTTAGGAATCTGAATTTTCGAGTCACTTCTTATGTCAGCATGATGCTGGGCACCTGTGTGATTTCAGAAATCAGTGCCGGCATTGGCCTCCTGTGACCTTAGTTTCTGTTGTAGGCCAGCTGGGCCTGTGTCTTCAGTGGTCTCTCCACTGACTTGGCTTGTTACAAGTGTGAATTTGATTTGATGGTTTTTTAATGGCTCACCTTGTTATGGATTATCTTCAGTACATGATGGCCTTTAAAATTAATATCTGCCTCACTGTTAACCGCTGGGAATGTATGGCTTCTCCTGATAAATGGATGTCTCATGTTTGCTTGACCTCAGTCCTGTTTGTTTCTTGCGGAAAGTGGCGCGGTCTGGTGTTGCAAACAAACTGATTTTCTCCCTGACTTTCCAGGCAGGAGAGTTTTCCAAAAACATATGCTTTTGATCGTCATTCCGAGTGAAATGTCATTAGGAAATACTTTTGTAGAATTTGTGTATGGATAATTGCTATATAAAAACTGCTGATCTAGCCAAGAGGGAAGCAGGGGGACAAATCCCCATCCTACTGCCACATGTTAAAGGGAGGCCATCTGCCCATCTGCTGCCAGGTCTGAGTCTCCTCCTGGACCATATGTGCAGGCACAAACAGAGAAGCGTGGCTGTGCCCTTAGCAGGGTGCCTGCCGGCAGCTCCGCTCTCTGCTCGCCATGTGCAAAACTTTAGTGACCCAAATGAGAGGGTTGGATTTCATTTTTCTATGGGGAAAGTGATTGGATTATTTAACCTTTGCTGTTCTCGTTAACATACAGAATAGCTGCATTTTGTTAAAGCCTGGTGCACTTTAGTAGAGCAATATGGGTAATCTTGCTTTGTTGCTTGTTCTTTTGAGTGTTTCACTTTTCATAAAGCATACTTGCATAATATAGTCCCAAAGTGATACCGATGCAATAAAAAGCACAGAAGCTATTTCAAATACATTTATGTTCTTTACTAAAAGTTTTGTGTAAAGATCAGTGTACTAAAAATCGAAGCAAAAGAGATGACTACAGAAATACAGTATTGTTATCACATAGCAAGAAACAGCATGTCCAAACACTTTTCTTTTATATTAATCATGTAATAAATGAAAGGCCAGTCTTAAGCCTGTTTTAGGATTGGCATTAAATTATGTGAGAGTTTAGGATAAAATCTGATAGGAGGATATGGTTTCTTATGAGGACCATCAGGAGACGCTGTCAACTTTGCTGAGATTTATCCAGGACCTTAACTATTCTCCAGTAAATGAAAATATGTTCTTATTGCATCATTACAAGAAATTTCAACACTGTTCCAGTAGTAGCAGTGGAAGCTGTTAGAGCAATTTTAGAGCTATAAACTTCTTTTTCTACTACTGTCTGTTTGCAGAGGTATATGGGTTGGATTATAAGCTTTTTTCCCCACAATAGTGTTGGATATCACCTAGTTAAAAAGATTAACAAGAGTAGAAAATTCTAAGCCAGTCTTGCAAGTGATCGTGGTAAGGTATCACTGAAGGCAGCATACTCTACTTGTAATTCACAGTTTGTTTTTTACAGATACTTGTTTATAACGAATGACATAACCTATACACTTAGTGGTAACTTAGAAAAACGCTACAGTATGGAATTGTGTGTGTTGGTTTGGCTTCCATATCCATGAGAGAGAGAGAAGCTGGAATTATTTTGACGGACGAATCCCTCGTGAACTCTGTGTAGTGTGGTAACTAGATGACTTGACATTACAAAGCGTTATACCACAAGAGGGAGTAGACAGCTATTTGTAAGTAATGCTGCCACATACAATCCAGATGGGTAACTTATCAAATTAAGAAGGACTTTGTTTAGTTTTCTATAATCTTAGCAATGCATTTCTGTTATGAGGCAAAATACAAATCTCCCATTATCATCAGAAGCTTACTTAAAATTAGCTTGTTTTGTAAACCACAGACAGAAAGTTAGTGGGAGGTTGTGAAATCCCTGTTGGGTTAAAAGCCGAGCAGGTGGAAAGGATTTCCCAAAATGCACATAAATTGTAAGCATCTGTAACAGAGTAGAGGCTCACCTGCCAGGTGTGAAAACCTTCTGTGCTTGTCTCCAGAAGAACTGCCAGGTTTGCCATGTTACAGATAAAAGAGTGACTCACTTCCAGGAAAAAAAAAAGAAATTAAATTCTAATATTGATTAGATTTCCCCCTCCACCTCCCTGACAGCAGCCTGAAGTAAGCAGGGTCTGGTCCCAGTGCTTTACCCTGTTCTAGGCAGGTCTCCAAGAGCTGCAGGAAGACACAGCTATGAAAGCGTGTCCTGTGTCCTGTTCTGCATGAATAAACCTCTGTGCTCTCCCTCACTTCTTATTTTCCTGCCAGTAAAACTGAGTGGTACACTCCTGTGTTGGTTTTAATTTCTGACTGCTAATAGATGGTGTAGAGTTTTGCTTCTCTTATTGCAGGATACTTTACATCCTACACAACTGTTTACACTAGTACTTTAAAGAGGTATAGTTCTGTATGTTAAAAACACAAATGGAAAATACAGCCTTTGTACTGGGGATGCCTCCCGGCAGTTTTGCAATGAATTTTTGTTGTTTTGGTTGTAGTGTACTGAGAATATTGGAAATCTTGCTGAATTGCGAAAGAATTCTCTTATTTTACCAAAATACATATTTACTCTCATCTACTTAGCAAAAAATGCATACTTACCTTATCTCGTCATGGGCATATGACTCAGTAATGGTCTAATTTATACAGCAATAAGAACCATATAATTACTTCCCATCTAAGTATAATTATAATTGTGTCAATCTTTGGAGTGTTGAATGATGATTACAGTTGAAAATTATTTAGTATTTACAGAATATCTAAGTGCAATTTTAATAATTTGGATGATGTTTCCTTTTATACACAACCGTATATTTACTATACTCATTTTTACATATCCTTCTGTGGGGGTAGTAAACTGAAGTCCATTTTATCAATGTAAATTTTTTTTTTTCAGTGAAAATACCTCTAAGAGATATAGTGGCGATGAGCCTCTGATAACTGTGCTAACTAGTAGTGGTTGAAGATAGGCTGCTTGTGTACCATGCCAAATTAAACTCTCACATCTGCCCTTTAACCCTGCTGTTCTGCTGCTGTGCATCTCCAACTTGTATGTATTTATTATGGGAATGTGTGAGAGGTCCAGGTCTAGGAACAAAGGCTAGATTTGTGGGTAGCAAAATTTCAGTGGAAAGGATCCTGCCTAATAAAAGAGGTTTCTTTCTGCACAGAGTGAGGTTCTCCGTTCCTGCACATGCCGAGTCCAGCATCTATTATTTACATCCCACTAATGCAATTACTAGAGGTCAAGGTCCTTTGTAACACTGCTGGCTCTGTACTGAAGGAAGGGACTGGTTAGTGCCTGAAAATGTGGTCATGCTCGGGAATTGGCAAGGAGCAACTTCTGGGATCCCAGACACTGCCCGTGAAGGGCATGTCGCTCCCAGCCTGCACACAGCTGTGGTACAGCTTCCATCCCTAAAGCCAGTTGGTGTTTGGGGACCAGCTGTCACCTCTCCATCCCTTGCCACTGCTTTCTTTTGAGGAAGACTTACAGCAGGCTTTGCAGTGCTCTGGAAAGCCTGGTACTGGCCAGGCTTTCCAAAGGAACAAGGTGACTATCAAAATATTATCTTTTTTTTTTTCTCCTCATGTATGGTACTGATAGTCATGTTTTGCAGGCAGCATTCTGTCTCTGTCTTCTGAAACACATATTTAGTCAAAGAATTATTTAAAAATACATTGTTGCCAAGACATTGAATGAAAGTGACTAGTGACACCTACAAAGACAACAAAATGCTCTTCTTTTTCCTTCTGCTCTAAAACATGCAAAGTATCATAAAATCAACAAGTAGGCTTGACTGGGTAACATGTATCTACAGTAAGAGTGGCTGACTGTGATGTGTTTTGAAATGCTTCAAAAAGGTCAGGTGCACTGCTTGTCACTGCTCTTTTATGCTGTGTGATGTCGTGGAACACTTTGAAGCACAAAGAGGGAAGTTTAGGTAAACTTTCAAAATTCACTGTAAAAAAGAGAATCCCATTGCATCCCTGTTTAAAGATATAAAATAGGTAAAACTTTTAGAGGTTTTATTCTTCCATTTAAATGTCTTTGTCAGTCTGAGTTCTTCAGAAGAATTGAAGGAAAGAGCCACTTCTATTCACATGATTTGGTTCAGAAGGGTCTGATAGTCAGTGGCAGAATTTTTCCGTACTTCCATTGGCACAAGTGGGATGGGGATATTCTGTTCACACACCACCGTCTCGTACAGGGGAGCAGCCTCCAGAGCCAGGGACGACAAAGAGATGGATGAAATGGGCTGCTGCAAGTCCTGCAGCCTGACGGCATAATTTGCAGCCTGTCCTGTAGTCCCAGATGCTGCTTCCTCTTCCAGGCTAATGTTTATAGATATTTCATTTCTTTGACAAGGGTCCGTAAGAGAATATGGGGGGGGATCATCTGTGGGAATGTATATTTCAGTTGCTCCTGGCCCCACACACTCATCGTAGCTGAAAGAAGAAAAGAGTTTTACATTAGATTCCTGTGAAAAATGCCACAGTACATTATTTTCAGCATAACGGGCAGGTAAAGCGAAGACCAAGATCCTCTGGTATTTTGTTCCTCAGTGCACGTCCTTGCTTACCCTGCCATGCGAGATGCTCAAGAGCATAATACTTCAAAGCACATCTCCAAACACCTAAAGATAATCCCAGTGGTGTCGGTGACAGTTCAGACCACATCCTCATGATGTAAGAAAGTAAGACCTGTGAAAGTAAGACTTGTGGCAGCTCCGTTCAGCTGAGGTGCCCGGGGATAAGCCCAGCTCCTGTAGGCAGGAGCAGGAGAACCAACTCTGCTGGTCACACAAAGCTGTGTGTGCTGCACCCATTGCCATAGGTGTCACACAGCGGGGCTTTGTTCCTGTTATCAACTGCTGGTGAGGAGTTAAAAAGGAAGTGGTGTTGCCATTTTACAGCTATGAAATAAGGTCTAGAGAGCTTTAGATGGAGTCTAGAGTATCACATGCAGTGCTTTCCTCCTGACTCGCAGGTCTCTGGTGCTCAGCCAGCAGTTGTCTGGGTTGCAGATCTGTGCTGGCAGAGGCCACAGGATTTCTTGCTGAGGTGCAGAGCTGTGATGAATGATGTTGACAGACTCACCCTGGTCATTCTGAGACCAGGCAGACTCCCCATCATGTTCCTCTCAAAAAGAAAGTATGCAAAACAGACCAGTTTTTGGGATTTCTATGAGGAGCCAGGTTTTGTGGTTCTGTCTGTGCCACCAAACTGGAGCCAGGGGAAACTGGTACCTCTTTGCTCCACTGCTGGCTCAGTGCCTGCTGTCCCGGTGTAACTGCAGACGGGCACCTCAGATCAGACTGCAGGCCTGGGGAGGCCCACGAGGGGTAAATAATGAGCCTGGATAGACCAGTGTGTGTTTGTGCTGTGTTTTTCTGTGTTGTGAGTTGCAGGAAGAGATGGATACGAGCAGGCTCCGTGTGTTTGGCACTGCCCAGCCCTCTGGGCTGAAGGGCTCTGCAGAGATTGTGCTGTGGCCCAAGGAACCCGACAGTGCTCTGGCAGCCTGGGCGCTGGACTACAGCCGGGGAATCTGGTCTGTCATCTGGGTGGTCCTCTCTCATCACTTGTTTGTCTGTAAACTAAAGCTGACTCCACTTTGGCTATCAAACCAGCCCAGGTCTAGTGGTTTAAAGGAAGGTCCTGTTTTCCTGGCTCACTGGCTACAGGTGAAAGTGAGGAAGAGTCGTAACCTTAAATGTCGGACCTGCTTTGTTTGTGGCTGCCTGTTTAACTGTTTCGGTATCATTTTAAATCCAGTTCTGAAAGAGGGAAATTTTCCTGTAAAACCTTTGCCTACTCAGTTAACCTGAAAAGCAATTCTGCTGGAGCCAGACAAATTAAGAACCCATTTCCTCAACCACACTAACTGCAGAGCTATTAAGATCTGGGATATTTCCTGAAACTCAGGATATTTAGCATATGTCTTCCCAGTAGACTGCAGGCAGTCATTCTGTCCCCTGTAATTGCATTACTCCCAGGCTAAACCCAAGCTAATAAACCCTACTTGTAGATTATAAGTGGCTTGCAGCAGGGCAGCTTGCTTTGGTTAGAGTGAGCTCAAACCTACTGCAATCGACCATGGAGCCCTGCCTTAGAAAAATACTCTGTCCTGCTGCTCTGTTCATACCGTTCCCTCAAAGCGCTCCTGTTGATTTTGATGGTACTGTTCCTAATGCAGGTGATGCAAGAGGTTTTTGGGGAAGGGAAAGGTAAGAAAGTGAAATCTTAGTGCTAGGTTATTTAATAACTTAAATATCTACAGGCATTCTTATTTTTACCTCCCTCTCATTTTTATATTCATGAGGGCAATGGTTTGAAATTCAGACTAGAAAATTTCTGTTTCCCCATCAAAAAGAATGGTTTGTAAAACCACAGCTCCCTTCTGAAGATCCTGGATAGGGCTGCTAGGTACTTCAGAAACAAGTCCCAGCATGTAGGAGGTTGAGTTGGTTTTGTATAGCACGTAGAAGGTTTCAGCCCAGCCTCTAAGCCTGCTGAAGCTTTCAAGCATACCTGATATTCTTTGACAAGATCTTAGACCTCAGTCAGAGATCAAGGGCCTGATGTTCTAAACTCTTTATGAACTTGGTGAGAGTCAAGGAAGAGCTGCTTTTTGCTGGATTACTTATTATGAGCTGCACCTTTATTTAATTTACATTTTGTTGACCCAAAGCCCAGTGAATTTATTTAAAATCCTTCCACAGATTTTTGACTGACTTAATCAGGCTAATGAAGAGCACCTACTGGGTCCTGTTACCATAGTAAAAGAGTTTCAGTTTTGAAAAGCCCACAGTAATGTGAGTTTCAAGGTGGAAAATTTTTAATCCTTTTGCTGAGGCACAAAAGGAAAGAAGCTTCTCGGAACAGAGCCCAGCACTAGGGAAATCTGCCACTGACCTCAAGGAGAAACGGGCACAGTATGAACCTTCTGCTTACTGTTGTTACCTGATCAGCTGCAGTTCTTTCCCTTGGAATTAATTTAATATCTTTAATGGACTGTAGCTTAGCTCTGTAGAACTAAAATGCTCAGTGGATAAATAGCAAAATGATTGTTTGTGAAGGAGACTTTTAAACATCAAGACAAATGGGTAGCCAATTACGATATTCAAGACCTGGCGTTTTAGTGTTTAGTTCCAAATATCAATATATATTAGTGTTAAGGCACTTTGTTCTTCCGACATATGATGGATAAAAATGGATTCCCTCTTTTTCTCCAAACTCCAATGTAAGTAATGTTACCCCCCCTCATTTTTGGCAATTAAGTTCACAGGTTAAAAATCTAACAAGGCAGTAAGGAAAGTGCGACCTTAGTAACTTCTAAGGGAATGACACCTACATATATACGTGTGTGTATATACATGTTTTTCAATTAAAAATGCAAGAGCATGGAGCTTGCATAACTTAAGTGGAAAACCACTCTTGCAAAAAATACAATGCTAGTTGTGTTTTATCTGACAGATTCATTTCTGAAGTTTTTGTACATGTAAAAAGTAGCTGATGCTTGAAGTTCAGTACAGCAGTCATGGGAAAATCCTTCTAGACAAGAAAGGAAATGCTTTTGAAAAGTGTTACGTTACCATAACTTAATAACGGAGCACAGGAACTCATTATACTGCATCTCATGAATATCATGCGTCTCTTATTCAGCCCTGAAAAAAATTCTTGATTACAGCACTTGTGATGAATTCACTGTAATTCATTATTTAAAAAAAAAATATGTTAAGGTTCAGTGTATCATACAGGCAGTCCTGAGAAGGAAGGGGTTACTGACCATGGAACGTGCTGTTGTCTATGCTTTTTTTTGGCCTTGTTTCTGTCAAAATAACTCCAATGTCACTGTAGACTATGCTATTGTGTTTTTAAGGAATAATTATACTAGGAAAGGCAAGGAGGGCTGATGTCTGTTAACATCATCTTACTGCATGTAAATGTGATCTGCAAAGAGAAGACTGTTGCTTACAAAAATACAGCAACTCTTCAAGCTGACCTTGTTGACTCAGAATGTTGTGTGGGGGGTAAATAACTTCATGAATTTGTCAGGTCTCATTGCAATAAGTATTAGGTTAGGTTTGTTGCTAAGGAAACCCAAAAGAGCTTATTTAATTAGCTGTCATTCATAAATTATGACCTGCTCTCTGGGGAAAGATGAAGTTTCTACTTACAGAATTTTTTAAGATGCAAACAATAGCGAGTGAAAAAAAGGCAAATTTGGGGAATGAAGAATTCTTCTTTGTGAAATAGATGTCTCTTTATTTACTTTGTTTGTTTGTTATATTCTGGGCCTCTACTAAAATTGCTTCTGTTGCATTGTTTTAGTTTTGCTGATGACCTACTGTCTTCTTTTAATAATGGTAAACAGAATCACTAAATCTGGAAAATACATGTGCTGATGGGTTTAAGCTGTGATGACAACAACACAAAGGATGTTTGTATAATGTTGTTACCTAATAAAGAAAAGCTGATATTAGAACAAATATACTGTAACTGTCTGAAAGGAGGATCAAAGGCAAAAAAAGATGTTGGTAGTTCAGCTGATGATGGTGTCTCTGATCGTGCATGCTGCTAACAGCTGGGTTTGTAGGACAGCAGTTTGGAAATCTCTCAGTGTTTTCTTTGAGGTGTTTTTTTCTTAAATTACATCTGTTCTTTGCGGATGTGCAACTACCATGAGGAAATGTGTAATGCAAGAGTAAGCCAATGTAGTTAAGCGGCATCTCCTCCTATGCCATTTCAGTCCTCCTAGTTACTGTGTTTGTATAAAATTAAAATCCATCTGTCTCTGGGCCTGGGCTATATTACATGAGTATGTTTTCCTATGACCAATCCCAAATTACAGAGTGGGGGGGTAAGTAACAAACGTGGAACAACCAAAGATAATGGCCCCCAGCACCAGCCAAGCCAGAGCCCTGAAGCAACCGTACAGTGCTCCGTAAAAATCACTGGAGTGTTTTGTGGGGATGTTCTGTCACATAAGTTCAAAATGCGGCTGTTTAAACAAGGGGGAGACTCCTCTTAAGGGACTCTGGAGGAACCTCTCTCTTTGTATTAGCTCTAGAGTGGTGCTGAGCTCTGAACTTACTTGATTTCTTTAGCTCCCAGAGGTGTGGTAAATGCTCCTCCCAGGTGCCTGCCTGATCTTGGAGTAGACAACCATGAACAAATAACACTGTTATTTTCTATTTTAATGTTTTGAAATACTAAAAAAATGTAATCCAAGGTATTGGTCAAGGAGACATCTAAGGTTTAAGTAACGTAACCCTTAAAGTGACAGGAAACCTGGAATTAATTTTTTTTCTTTTTTCTGTTCATAGTTATTTCTGGAATTTCCCATTCCCTGCAACGACAATAGGGCTATTTGTGTTAATAAGCACTAAAAATCTGGATCTTTATGCTGTGTGTCAAGATAATCCTGAGGAAGTTGTGACTCTGATGAATAAATGTTCCAGATGAAAAATGAATTTAAATGTAAAGTGTTTTCATGAGAACATATACCAGATAGCATTTGAAACTGATAGAATAGTTTCAACATAATTGTGCAGCTTTAAAAAAGTCAATAAAACAGGTCATTCTATGATGAAGACTTTATATGATACATTTCAGCCTGGCATTATGTTTATATATAACAAGAATCACTTGATCATAAGCAGTGTCTAGTCTCTTCATGTCTGTAACTGCTATAGGTAAGTGACAATGAAGCTGTGGGCACTGGTTGAGTAATAAAAAAAGCCCCCAATGTGTTCTAATGTGAATACTAGGATAATGGGTGACTAACAGTTTTTTATCATAGTGTGCCCTCCAGGACACATTTCAGTGTGAAATACAGAGAGGACTTTTGTGCCTTCCATTAAAACCATTCCTGAAGCTAAATCCCTCCTCCTTGCTCCAGAGTCATTCCTCAGTGATGTTCTGGATTAGACAGCCGTGAGTCACAGATGAAAAAGGTGATAACCTTGGTTGCCTAAAGCTCTGTACATACCATTAATATCCAATCACTAAGGAGAGAAAAAGCACTTAGTTGAGTAGAGTGAAATGCATTTCCTCTGGCCAAAAAGTGAAAATTTGATAAAATTCCTTTCATTCGGGGAACCTCAAATGTTGTCATTAGGATTTTAGAGGCTGTCACAAAGAAAATGCAATTGTTGTTTATTTATCTGATCCTTGATTGGTACTGTACTTCAAGCCATTTAAAATATGTAAGCTCAAATTATTTTTAAACAGCTTATTTCTTACAAAAAGATAATTGGGAAAGCTCACTATAAATGAGTGTGTGTTACAATGAACTCTGGGCACATTGAACATGAGCAGAAGCTCATGATTTCTGTCTATAAAGGTATCATTCAGTGTCAGCAGCATGTGTTTGGGATATGTAAAATGACACCTATAGCCATCTTGATCAAACTCCGGAAGACTTTTTTGATTAAAGGTCTGCTGCCTGCCATATAATTCCAAATAATACTCTTTGATTCTTCTTAAAAGTTTAAAGAGAATAAAAACATTCATCACAGTGAATGTTGAACAAATGGGCAAATACTGGATCAACAGGCTTTCCAGTATTTCTAGGTCATATTTACTACAATGATAGTTAAGCTGTGGCAGGGAGATTGTTCTTATAATTTGTCCTGGTTGAATTTGTTCAGGTTTCCTAATCTGGGGGTGAAGAATTCTGTGTTTTAGAATTGTTGTGGGATCACCTGGATCATCGTTCTCGGAAGACCAAATTTCTTAGAAATAAATACCATCTCTCATAGCACAGACTATGAAACATTAAGTTAACTTCTAGCACTGCTGTATCTGTAGATGTTAGAAATAGGCTCTAAAATACAAATCCCTAATATCTTGAAACTGCTTAGTCCGTACCCACTGCATTTTTAATTTTTTTATTTCCCTTCTACACCTCGTGTAAAATCAATCTGACAGCTGCTAATGCAGATCTGAGATTCATTAGAAAGTCATTAATTATCCTAAAGGGATGTTTATGGATAAAAGCACTGTATGTTTTGGGCTGTCAAGTCAAATTGACCAAATGGCTTCCCTGTAACCACCCTGGAACTATGCAAGGCTAATGACAAAAGTCAGTGCATGGTATTCCTCTAAATCTAATGTAAAATCTAATGTATGAAAGCACTTTGTGGAAGTGTCTATGGTGATAATCAGACTGAGCCTCAAATGAAATTTATGATTTAGATATCAAAGCAATTAAATTATTAACATCCCAAGGCATTTTTCATAAATTAATTTCCCCATTAAAGTTATTATATAAATAGTATTTTGTATTGGACTTTCAAGTGGAGAGTCGTGAGTGGGCAGTCCTGACCCGTTTGTTCTCCCTCAGCCACAAGAATGGGTGCTCTGAACTCTGGCTCTGTTTCATCAGCCTTCCCCTAAAACTCCTTTTCCACTCATTTCATGGTGAAGCCCAACTGTAAAACCTAATGAGAACATTCTAGACTGATTATAATCCCCCCCCTTGGCCAAACATTGGTATCGTGCTTTCTACTGAAATCATCTCAGAAAGTGTGGTTTTAGCAAAAACGGTATATTGGGGAACACTCAGCCCCACAGCCCCTGGTGTGCAGGGATCCAGGCTCTTTTAGAATGATGTGGCTAAATGAAGCCTTGATGTCTGCTCATGGCAGCAGGACACTAGTTTTCACTCACTGCAATTCAAGTATTTGTTGGGAGTTACTTGCCAGCACAGTTGGGTTCCTTGGTGCTCTTAATTTCTGTTCTGTTTATGCTACAGTTGCATTATTAGCTTTTGGACATGCTAGTTTAGCTTTAAATTACATCTTGCACTCCAGGAATTAGAAGGAGGAACTGCATTAATTTAGCCAGTGCTATATTTCAGTAAACCTACTTCCTAAAACATTGTCATATGTAACAAGATTGATCCCAGTTGGTTAATATTTGAAAGACAAAAGGTCAAGTATGTCTTGTTTATGCTTCTAGGCTATGTCTGACAGTCAGTTTTCCTGCTGTTAGCACCCATCAGTCCAAATAATCTCTATACTCTACTAATTAGAAAAAATACACTTTAGTGTTATGCTGTGGAGGAGAGTGTAAAAGTAGCTATACAGATGTTTTTCAGGCTCTTGCATAATGCAGTGTATTCATACAATGCTTCTCACCCAATGCTTTTCGGAACAGAAAGTTACAATGAACTATACAATGTATTAATAGTAAGTTTAAATGTCTCTCTGTGTAGCTTTGCTTTCAACCATCTGCTAAGCTCTACTCTTCCTGAAGTTTTCTCCAAGTTGTGTTGCTAAGATGTAAAAATTAATAAAATTTTGATGATTTGCCAAAGCTACTCTTTCTAAAATATTTAACTATGGTAGCAGTGAGAAAACAGTAAAGCCATTGACAGTAATTTTTTACTTTTGACCTGTGATGCAGAAATGCAATTAATAGCACAAGCAGCACTTCGTTGTTTTTGCAGAGTCAGATGTTGGGCCCCTCAGGGACACAGTGCACTCAGCCCAGAAGGCAAGTTTTATGTCTCTCTGATCCTCGTACTGATGTCCCAGAATAGTTTCTTAGAAGAAGGCAGTACATAAGATAGTTAACTTTTGCCAGGCTCATTACAGCAGTAGCTGGAGAATTTATGGGAAAGCCCAGATCATCTAGCAGGATGCTATCCTGCATCACTCCTCTATCTCCTTCCAAACAGGGAACTCCACAGAGGTGGAAAATCCTTCTTTGGGCCTGTTTCAAACTGTAAATGGAAGCAGCCTTTGGTATAATCTTAGGTCTGCTAAAGAAGTATGTTCTCAGAGCTTGTTCACAGGAGTCTGAGCTTGTTCTCTGAAATCTGGCCAAATGCCGCTCAAGTCGTTGCTTGGGTGTCAGCTGGCTGGCTTTTATTAGTAAAGACTCGTGGGTGTGGGTCCAAAAACCAGTCTACATTTTAAAGTGGATTTATATGAAGTTCTACAAATTTATATGCCAGGCTCAGAATAATTTTTCACATGTGAGCTTTTTGCTAAAATATTTACACCACCTCTAAAAGCCAATTTATTATATGGTATGACTTTGTAATACATAAAAGATTGCTTGTAAAACGTGCATAGAGTAGAAAAAGCAAAGATCTATATATTGCATGTTAATACTACTGACTTGCTCTAGACTGCATATGTAGGCAAGCAGTCAGAAAAGGGGCTGGCCTTGCAAATATACCAGTTTGACTCAGAACAGAGTCTGCTTAAAAGAAAGGGGGGGAAAAAAAAAGAGGTGGAGAGGGGCATGGCTGCTCAGGCATTATTAGCTGTTTGTAAGATACACCACTACAGAAAGCCTGAAGCGATGTTCTGTTTAAAATTATTTCTGTTGAGTCATTGGAGGAAGTAACTGGATTCGTTCATTTATTAACCTCAAGGTGCATGAGGTACAGACAGCCTAAAGCGTGACTTTAGTCACTTGTGATGGCTCTTGTGTCATTGTGAGTGCAGGCACACAAGTGTGGAAGGAGGTGATACATAATTTCTGGAATGAGTGCCTTTGGAAAGAGTCTCTTCTGGCATGTCACCTCCCCAGGCAATTAGAACTGCCTGATACCTGAGGGCTGCTCTTCTCCAAAGGTGCTACTACAGCCCAGGCAACTGTGGCTCTCCAGACTGGGTTTGGGTTAAACAGCTAAAATGGTAGTTGTCCTCCTTCACAGATTGCTGACAGAAGATGAACGGTCCCAAACAGTTTTTTCCCTATCCTAAATTAGGAGGTTAAGTACAATTACTAAGTATGGCAGAATGATATGGTTTCTTCAGGTTTGCTTTCTGATAGAATACTGGGGTTAAGAAGGCTCAGAAGTGAGCCTCGCTGAAAAGTACAGTATGGTTTAAAGGCTTCTTGCACTTCTCCTTCCCTCCCCTTTTGTTTTTTCTCTTTACTCTGATCGGATCAAGGTCAGTAATTAATGTAACCTGAAAGTTCTTGGGGAAAAAAAAAGTATTTTTCTCCTGGAAGTGAAACTTCGACTTGTATAATGATATCTTTCAAAGGCAGATGTTTATAGGTAGTTTTACTTGTGTGTTTCATTAGTATGCAATCAATACGATAAATTGTAATGTAAGTATTAGTAATTGGCTGTACATGTGTCTTTATTTAGTAAAGATATATTCTGCTAAGGAAGGGTTGAACTTAAATTAAACAAAGTCTGTTTGTATTTAGAGTGTGTGACCTGTGTTTTTGTAGCAGGTTTAGGTCTAGCAGTTTTATTTTCTTCATTGCAAGTGCAGGATGATACAGGCTGTACAGCATAGGCTATAATGGGCTATATATAATGGAATATAACACTCAGAATCTTAGAGAAGTGCTTACCGTGGAGGTGAATCAGGATACATGACGTTGACCTGAGAAAGTGTATCCAGATAGGAACCAAAATCAAAACCTGGGGGAAACTCCTCCATGCAGGTGGATCTCAGCTCTCCAAAAGAGCCACCGTAAGAGAAGCCATCTGGAGCTGGAAAACAAGCAATTAATAGTTGCTGCTCTCTTCCTCCGTGGTGGATTCTCTGAGACAGTGTCACTGTTTATAACACTGCCATAAATCAGAAAATAAAACCTATCTGAAGCAGAGGAATTACTGGTATTCTGGAACCATCAGGTTTCACAAGACTTTAAGAGCAAGTTAGCATCATTTGTAGATGAACTGTAGTGTTTCAGACTGTGGCACAGGGACTGTATGTTTAGTGCTGCCCTGCAAGGTGCAAATGTCTAAAGCTTTTTTTGTGCCTCAAAAGCTGAAAAGGAGTGTCAGTTCTGCTGCACACAGCTTCAAAGGTTAGCAGGATTGCTGAAGTTCTCAGGAGTCGCGTAGACTGAAACCTTGCCAATTCTGTGAAGGATTTTTAAGAGGAGGCTTGGTGTTTGATCGTAGGTATGTCTCTGGAGGAAATGCTGTTCTCAATAAAAACATTCACAAAAAGGGGAAAAAACTGGAAAATAGTAGAGAAAATCATCCTGCTTCAGGGCTTTCTTAATGCTTTCACGCAAAAGCCTCAGCTCCAGAAATGCCAAGAAGCTGCTTTCTGCCTTTGAGGATAGTTTGTTAATGTTCTGGGCTAAATTTCCATAGGAATAGAAATTGTGGAAATGCAGCAATCTCCACTCCCCTGCCCCCCAGCAATGGTCTCTTTAAAAAAAAAAAAAAAAGGTGTAAAAGTGTTCTGTCCTTTTCACTAGATGCATTAAAATAGCACCTGGAGAGAAGGCCCAGCTTCTAAAGTGACATTAAAGTAGTGTCTCTCTCAACAGAGGGTAAAGGGCAGGACTCACTTGAACTGCCTGTTCCTTCTGGCAGTTTTCACCTCTGCCAATTTATTCTCGAGGAATTTGCCAGGACTAATCCCGTCTATCACGCACTGTGCTTTGCTTTGGCTGCAGAAGTGAAGGAAGCCAACTTCCCAGTGACTCCTGCTGCTCCCCTGCTGGCCCCTGGAATCGTGCTGGGATACTGGGCTGGCTAATGAGTGCTAATGTAAAATTCTCGCTTGGGTAGACTAACACAACTTCATTTAAGATTATTCTTTTGCATTTCTCTGAAAACATCACCATGCTTTTCTTTTTCCATTTCTCTAGCATTGTTATTTCTAACAAGCAGTTTGAAAATTGTCCTGAATGTTTTTGCCTGGCTTCAGGGTTTTTTAAGGAGCTGAAATGAACATAGCAGTAGATTTAAGCGTAGTCATTGAATCATAATGGTCAGTATTTTATAATGCAAAAATATTGCTGTTCATGGGTAAAACAGTAACTGCAGTAACTATTTAATCCCATATTTAGCTGCTGAAAAGTAGAGAAAAAAGATGTTGCAATAATAGTAGACATTAGGTATTTTGGATTTTTTTTCCCTTTTCCCATCTAAATGTTACCATTGGAGTTTGCATTTCACTTGGAGTCTAAAGTGTATTCCCAAAACATAGATGTTATTCACTTGTCTGGATAAATGTTTCTGGAAAAGCCAAAAAAAAATTTTCCTGGCTCCAGGTGGACAAACTGATCCTAGGAAATGTGTTTCTTCCAGATGCTATTAGTTGCCCGTAGCGCCAGATCCTGATGAAGTTAAACATTATCTCGCTATAACGAGCTCTCTTACCATAAACAGCATCTCTCCTCAGATGTGGGTGTCTCAGCCGTCCGTCCTTTCGCAGGCTGCCAATGATGATTGTAACGCAGGACAGGAATAGCACAAGTCCAATCACTACTCCAGCCACCAGAAGGGGTGACACAAGTAAATTGGTATCATTTCCATTTTCTCCATAGCTGGGGAATTCACTGGTTGCGCTGCTCTGGTTGAAGTGAACTTCTGTACAGCAGAGAGAGAAAGAACGTGTCAGTTGTGAAAAGGGACACTTGCAAAGTCTGGTTATATGGATGCCAAAACTAAGGGCTTTCAAAGCCCCGAGATAGATCCACTGTATGAATTTATGTGCTTATGGACAACCTATTTATTAGGCTGATTTCTGGAGCTGTTAGTAACTTACTCTGGGGGAGTCACTGGGCATTCGTTTCCCTGTAATTGGGGAATATCCTGCTGAAGTCAATGATGTCTGTTGCATAATGGCAGTTTTGATTGCTTATTCCTGAAAAGATTCTTTGTGTCATGAACTGATTGATGCTGGAAGGATTTCAGTGCACAAGGAGGAATGTGAAAACTTACTTTACCTGAAAGTAAATAAAGTTATTGGGGAGCCCAAAGGGCAATACATTGTTTAAACAGTACCCCAAGGATGGTGCCAGATATGTGCTTTATGCTGGCTTTCCTAGTGTTGGAGCTGGCTCCGTGCCTTGTGGAGAGGTTGGGTTTGGTGCAGTCTCTCTCCTTTCATCCTCCCTCCTTCAGCCTGACACAGTGTAAGGAAGGGGCCCTGTGGGGCAGGCAGACCCTGCCTTAAATCCGCGTGGAAGGGTTGTGGTGCAGCAGGTACACAGGTACACCCTGCGCTCCCCCAGGCAAGCAGTTCTACACGGCAGTACTCCCACCCTTACTTCCACCCCACTTGGATTTCAAAATGCCCTCATGTTATGTGGCAGAAATCGTAACTGCTTTGCTCCGTGGAAAAAAACAAACAAACAATCTCCAGGTGTATTATTGGAGTTTAATAAGAAATCTGCTTAAGGGAAAAAAAATGGAAAATGCAAGATTATCCCAAACTATGAAAATTCAGAATAACTCCAGTAATGTATTCGCAAGTCAAATATCCTTTTGAGACCAGCTAAAGAGACAGTACCAGAAGTTACACTGTAAGTTTTCTCTGTAGAATCAACTGGTGACATATGATTATATGTGTGGATTAATTGCCCATAGATGTATTTATGGGGGATTGCACCACTAATGGAGTGGAGGTAAACATTAGAAGTGATGGGGAAAAAGGATTCAGGATTTCAGCAGATAGAATCCCTGCTGAAGTAAAAGGCTCTGTATGTTTATTTCTGGACAAAGTTTGGGCATGCAGTAAAGGTAGCCAAATTTGGGCCTAGGCTAGGTCTTGAAAACAAGTTGCAATAAGCACCTGTTTCCTATCCTTAATCCACAGCTTATAAAAAAACCTGCAAAACACCTCCCAATTAAAAAGAAGTCTCCCGTTAGCTGCTCAGACTACATACTGAGTAAACCAGAATTTTATCGTAACAATACATTATTGGAGATACAAACATAGCAAGACTAGCTTTCAAATATGGATATATTTTTTTATCTGGCTATATGCCAGTTGAACAGATAATTTGCTTCCTACAGAAACTAAGGCTAACAAAATTTTGCTCTTTTGACTGTTCTGTAAAGGGAACATGTGCTTTTGGAATTGCAAGTGCTTTTTACATGGATAGATGTTAGCAGATAGTTGTTTGTTTGTTTGTTTTTTTGCAACATCTTCCCTACTCTCTTCCTTTGGGATATCCCACTCGGTCTCTTGCAGTTACAATAAGCTGCTTCTTAAGCCAATGTCTATTATCATTGGCCAACACTTGACACTGAAGGAACTGATTAGAAATTTAAAAAAGCTGGGGAATTAGCATGTAGTAGGGTTTTTGTTAATTTTTTAGAAGCACTGTTGGCTGTCTTTCTGCTGTGGGAATTGCTCAGGTGACTAACAACTACAGAACGGATGCTATGTTGATAGAAATTGTTTGAGTTTGATTTTTGGGGAGCAAAAGATGTTTACATTACTTTTGGCAAAGGAACATCTTATAAATATTTCTCCTCTTATCCAAATAAGTTGTCTTTTGATAAACTGTACATTTCTGTACATAAAAATGCTATGCTTTTTTCACTCAGAATAGAAGTATCTGGAAATCTATGTAAAGCCCATAAACATCACAGCAATAGCAGAGTGCTAATTTTTTTTTTTGAGGTAAGTTATATTTTTTTCTGTGAAACTGCAAATTGCAAAGAATACATGCATAAATATGAATACTTTGTATCTAATCCTCTAAATATGAGTTTTATGGGATGCACAAACCATAACCTGGGAAACGTCCTCTCTGTAAATCAGTTTCATAAGAGTCATACAAATAGTATGGGGAAAGGAATTTTCAGTTCCAGAGGCCCAGGAGCATGTTTAATTCTCTCTCACTGCTTGCCTCTGCTGCCTACAGCCTGGGGCCACTTGGGTGTTGTCCCCCTGTTGGGTATGCTTTTCTGATTTGCACGCAGAAAATTAAAATGCCTCTTAATCTACAAATGATACTCAATAATAACCCTATAGGGATTGCTTTAAACTTCACCCTCATTGTGACTAGTAAAAGGCATTGTATGGTGTACGCATTTGTAGATTAAAGATCGGTTGTTCCAGTTTAGCTCATGTATTTTACAGCTCAAACTTACATCCACTTAGTGCTTACAAGAGCCCATTAACCTGGGCTTGATGGTAGCTTATCTTCTGGGATGGTATTTGGCAGTGATTTGACAGTCAATTGAATGAATAAATTTTTGCTGTCAGTTGCTGCAACTATGACATTTAAACAGTTCCCAAACCAGATGATATTCATTATTATTTTTAAATTTGAGGTAACAAATGGTTAACTAGTCTTGCCTGACTATTGCTGCTGTGGGAGATATTCAGCATAATCCAAACCCATATGAATGCCATTAACCAGGCAGGACCCATAAATTTAGACTAAGTTTCTCTGCAGCTCACATTGCCTCTTTGATCTGCATAATATGTTGTAATTGCAATTAAAAATTTACACTGATTTAATAGTAAAAAAATCAAACCCTTGTTCAGACATGAGGTTGTGTGACAGGGACATTTCAGTTTTATCTGATGCACTGGGCTTGAAGTGAATTTGGAGTGTACTTACAGGTACAAAAGCCGCCTGTGACCTTGAGAAGCTCATCCAAGGCAGAAAGGGTGGCCTTTCCTCTGAGATCTCTAACTCTGCCTTTTTATCATGTCTGCCGGCTATCAGATAATGACTTTTCTCTTCTTGCATTGACATCCTTATTATAGAGCCAGAATGAATAAGATTGGATCACCAGCAGCCTGCAAATTGAGAATGTCAGAGGCAAAGAGAATGTGGCTGCGTAAGGGCTCAGAAAATAAATCTTTTCAGATGCTGTGGCTTTAGGGTATTATGTTGATGTCACAGCAGCATGTATAGGTGCTGTTTCAAATTAACAGGAAAAATCTTCCCATTTTCAGATCCATGGTCTTTTTTATCAGCATGATAAATACCACTGCAGTGAAACAAATCACTCTGGAAGTGTAACAGCCCACTTTGTGATGGACAATATATTTCTTCCCCTATTTTCTCATATACAAACAACTTTGAACTAACACAATTTTATAAGCAGGACCCAAACCTATTACTTTTATCAGAAACTCCGTATTAGGGATTGGAAATAAGTATGATGAGAATCCTATTTTACCCTTTAAAGTAAAGTTACCTTCATAAGCTCAGATCCAGCTTAGGTTGATAGTGACTTGACTGGGGCAAAAGCAGTATTTTTTTTTTTTTATTGTGAGAAACTCTGGTATTTTGGCACATAAGCTTCTCATAGAATGCTTTTTATGTAGCAATATAATAATTATCCTTTTTATTCTGAGAAGGAAAGGTTTTAAAAAATGTAACAAGCAAATAATTCTGTATTTTACTTCGGCAGTCTGTCTGCTTCAACTGTGATCTAGATGTCTCCTGTCTAGGAGAAGGCAGTGATGAAATTCTTGCTTGCTCTAACAGCAATAACTGGTGAGCGGCTGACTTGTGTTCTGTTGCCTGCTGTGTGCATTTATGAATCTGTAAATCAGCCATCTACTTCTGATTATTATTAAATTGGCTCAAATTCATGAGGCTTTTTAAATTATGAAGTTTTGTATTTTCCTTGTGTTGCACTGAACTATTCAATGGGCTCTATTAACCAGCATCTTTTAGTAATCATTAACCTGCTCACATGATTTAAAAGAGCTAATAAAGATGGTATCTGCAACAAAACCCTGAGATTGAACTACTATCTGAGCTTCAGGAATCACATCCATCTTACACAGACCTTGAACACTCCTTCTAGAGTGCTTGTGGCTATGGGCTGTTTCGTATTTAGGACTTCGCCTATTGAAATAATCTTGTTTCTTTTTCCATCTTCAATAGCAGTAACCTACTAAAAAAATATGTAGAGCAATGACTGACATCTATGGCTTAGAAAATAATGAGAACTGCAATTGTGATCTAGCCAGTTATGTGGGGAGCTGGGCGCTAAGTTACAAACCTGTTAGCAAATGTTGGAATCCAAAGATCTTTCTTTGAGGTGATATCCCATGTGATATATCTTGGTGTTTCTTTCAAGGTGACTTGAGTTTTTTTTTAAAATAATTAGAATGGTTTTGCAGTGTTGTTATGAACTTCCATATGAATTATGGTGTTGATGTCACAGAGTATACAGAGCCTATAGTATGACTTAGATTATCTGATCCTCTGTTCTCCCTTGCGCTGACAGTATATGTAATAAGAAATAATATGCTGTTTGGATTATTAAAATGTATTCATACTTACTGTGTCACTTGTTAACACTATCTTGTTAAGTCCTTCTGGGGATGAGATCACAGATTTTTCTAACTAACAGCTGCTGCATAGTTTCTTAAAATACCAGATTTTAGGGTTGGGCCAAGGAAGACAGGGTTGATGATAAAAACAGATGGCCTCATTGCTAACAATATACCTGAGCTTGCAAGCACTGGATGCTGGGGAAGGTGTGGGCAACCTTGTTGATTCAGAAAGAGCTAAGACTGTTCAGTGAGCTTTTTGGTTCTGGATGGAAAGTCACTGCTCTTGTTCATCTCCTGAGTTACTGGGAGATAGCCTAATAATGGGTAT